GAAGGACAGGACTCCTGTAACAGCCCCAAAGTCAAAGAAGAACCGGAAGAGAAAGCTAGTGATTGCACTGAGGGGAATACACCTGAATCTGCTGAAATTAAAACAGAGCCTGAAAAGGTTGAATCGGTTTAAACTGTGGGTTTTTTTTTTTAATTACAGAGAAATACTTATTGTGTCCTACTGATTCTCGAATGCAAATAATTTTTATATGAATAAAACGTTTGCCTGGGGCAGGGCCCCAGCTACTGACTTGGTTAATAAATACATTTTTGTATTTGAATTTCTTATTGCCTGCACCGTGTCAGGTGTCTTATCGTGTGGAAGTTCTGTAGATGGTGTACAAATTTAACAGGAATAGACTGTATATGTAAGAAAAAAATTGTACATTTTTTTTCATTTGTGGAAATGTAAATTATAAATAAAAGATATTTTTGCTATCTACGGAGTGTAATGTTTATCCACACCATCCAATTAAACAACAACACCACACTTAGTCTTGGGGGTGTTTTAAAGGCAACAGAATTCAGGCTTCTATATAAGGCTTGTGCTTAACTAGGATTCTTTCAGACATAACAAGGAAGATTCTTTTGCTGTAAAATTTGATGAGAAAATTACTGTCTGAAGGAAGTTCTTTTTCAAATCTTGAATTGCTTTTCTTAAGCATTCACATTAGTTGTTTAAAAAGAAAAGTAGGTTTACATAACAAATTTAACCTAGTTCCCTTTGGATACTTATCTACACCTTACATCAGATCTAGATTTTCATAATTTCAACTACTCAGTACACAAAAAGCTTAAGTCTTTTTTTCCCCCTTCCATTTTAGAGGAACAAATGTAAGATTGCTCGTTTGCAACATGGTTAACTTTTTTTGTTGGTTTATTGAATCTAAATAGTAGAAGAGATTACCAAGAAATGTTAATATTTATTTCGTGTAATAAATTAGAATGAAGCATATACCTGTTTGGAGTCTTTATTTCATGGGTGGGTTTGTGGACATCTCGCTACCTAGCATACGAATAACAACTTGGGCCTTGAAGTTAAGTGAATTGGATGGAGGTGCATTTGTTTGTGTGTTTGTTGAATGTTATTCATAGAATCGGCTGGAAGGGACCTCAGAGGTTTAGACCAACCCCCCACCCAAAGCAGGTGGGGTCAGACCTGCCACAACTTCAACCCCTAAATAAAACTATACCCTTTTCAACCGATGGCACAAAAGACCCGTTTCTAGGGGTTTTAAGGTTCAATTCAGGACCTTAGGGCTGACCAATCTTTTCTTGAAGACCTCCAGTGGTGGAGCACGCACAACTTCACGAGGCAAGCTGTTCCATTGATGATGAATCATTCTAATTTTCAGGAAATTCTTCCTAATTTCCAGTCTGGATCTCCCTCTGAGGAGCTTCCACCCATTGCTTCTTGACCTGCGCTTGGATGCTATGGAGAATAAGTTGACCCTCTCTTCTCTGGGACAGTCCCTCAAGTACTGGAAGGTCGTATCACGTCACCCCCTAACCCAGAGGTAGGCCATCTTGGCTCTTTTATGACTCGTGACTTCAACTCCCAGAATTCCTGAGCCAGCATGGGGGAACTATGGCCCCTTCATGACTTGTGGACTTCAACTCCCAGAATTCCTGAGCCAGCATGGAGGAACTATGGCCTCTTCATGACTTGTAGACTTCGACTCCCAGAATTCCTGAGACAGCATGGAGGAACTATGGTCTCTTCATGACTCGTGGACTTCAACTCCCAGAATTCCTGGGTCAGCATGGGGGAACTATGGCTCTTTTATGACTCGTGGACTTCAACTCCC